CGATAACCAAAAATAAATTTATACAGAGGAATAGTGTTGCCGTCGTGTGAAGAGCGTGGCGTGGGGTGGGGTGGGGTGAATGCGTTATGACAGTTTAGTCTAGACGACGGAATATGCGATAACGCGTGGCGTTTGGAGAGTTACATACATACATACATACATACATACAAGTGAAACTAATATAAGCGTGTTAAAATGAAATGTCACCTTTGCGATTGTCGCACTCTTGTGCTCTCAGTAAATCGCCGTTGGTTCTATACATTTTCTAAGATGCATCACAGTACCGTTTATAGCATATTGTACACGTTGGTCAGTTACTTGCATTCGACTTCAATTGATCCTTTCAATATTCAACATTATCATCAGCCGTTTCAATTTGCCGATAAGTATGATGCTTGTCCATATTCTTTTTAAGACTTACTCACATTTATAACTTATTGTTTGTTTATATCAGCGCCATTGTGGTATTAGTATTAAGTGCCCTCCCTATCCACATTGGTGTAAATAAGATATTATTATTCATGTTTAATACATTTAATTGTTATATGCTTTGAAAATTCATTCTTTATTCATTCATACAGTGCAGTCATTTAATTTATTTTCTTCGACATAGTCTGACTTAAGACAAAGTAAAACAACGAAACCGCGCGAGTACCTCCGAGCGCTGTGTTCATTCAATATTGGCGTCTTGCCTTAAATCTCTTTGATCACTATAGGAGATGGGTGAGAGTGTTCACCTTTCTGTGTCTGATTTTCTAGTCTGATTTTGGTGCTTAAAATTTAATGTGGAGGCTTCCATGCTTTATTTTATATTATATATTGTATATCACTGTAAAATATTTATTATTTCATTAAAACAATAATAGTTCATACTATCATTATTTGTTTTATACCTATCAAACGTTGATTGCAACTTGTCTAAGGCTCTTTGATTCAATTCATTATTCTAAAATAAATTAAATGACATTAGAAATAATAATTATATTATTTAGTAATAATATATTATTCATTAATTATTATTATATATTTATTTAAAAACTCAGCACAATAAGGGCAAGTCTAGAAGATATTTGACAGTGACTTATTTTATAAAATAAACTTCGATGAAAAGCTGTAGATAGTATTTAAGTTTTAGAAGGATTAGTTAGTTTATTCCAATAGCAACATCAACTCTTATGTCCTTAATTATATTCTGATTACAAATTTTATGATTAATAAATATATATATTTATTAAAATACATGAATAATCACTTATTATAGTAATTAATTTTAGTATGAAATTAATATTTAATAATTTAGTGTTGTAATTTTTATGGAAAAACATTGAAAATATTTTTTTTTTAATATAAAATTAGTTTAGTGGTTCAATTATAGTAGATAAATCAGCAGCGCAGCAGGTGGCTCAGTGAAATAATAGTTCGGTAGATCTTTGACCTAGTTTAGTATAATCTGAAATGACTCCCCTAATAAGTTAAATCATCAAAATATATGAAAATATACATACAAAAAATACTTTTTTCTATTATCTTAGTGATTAATCCAAGATATTTTTTCTTCTGATGAGCTTCGTATAAGCTGTAAAAATATGTATAAATTTAAAATTCTGGTCTATAGTTAAAAATATCATATATTAACGCCATTTAGTTTATCATAATTTGTAAATAAAAAAGTGTCACTAACAAAATTAATTTTATTAAATGTTCTTTTGTCTGTTAAATATAAAATATAGCATATAAAATCTACATTAAATTAATGACGTGTAATTCATAGTAACTTAAAATAATTTTTAGAATTCCAATGTATATTTAAAAAATTCGACAGCTTTATAATCATAAATTTTTGTAGTTTGTTGATATGAAAACAAATATTAATAATAATGAGTGTTTCATAGAATACAATAATTTTTTAAGTGTTTTTTTAAGAATATTCCATCTAATTTTAAAATCTTATGCAAAATATCTTGTCTAGAGTACAAACTAATATTAAAATATTAGAATACATTCAACATTTTTTAAGGGGCGGTAGGTGACTATCTTTTAATTGAAGAATTAATATATATATATAATACATTTTTTAAGTACAACCTAAACCAATATAAGGTATGTCAATTTACTCCATCCTGGGGTCAATGGGTCTCAATATATCAAGTAGTATTTCTATAAAATTTTAGGTTTTTAAAGTGAACATTTTCTTTAAGAGTTTCAATTAAAGCTTAAGGGTGTCAACTTGTCTCCTACTCTAAATTGTTTTCTAATGGAAAACATAAAATTATGTAATCGTACTCGCATTATCTTAAATGATAATTTAATTTGGTAGAAGTTTTATTTAAAATTTTCGTAGTAATTTTTCTTTTCTGCTTTGAAATTTTAAAACCTAACGCAAACTAATAAGAGATAATTTTACATAATATTTTTATTTTAAATAATAGAAACCCTATGTTACTGCCGACCGATGTCATCGTGGTACGTTGACATAACCTTGAAATAGGTTTTGAAAAAAATTGTACAAAATTGTTTGTATCTCGTTAACGATTGGTCCTAGAAGTTTGAATATTTTTCTCGACCTATAGTATTCCCCATCTGCCCTCGTCCCTGTCTTTAATACGAGTAACTGAATTTTATGAGATGGTCACTGCGTGTTTTAGCATTTATCTAATATATATATATATATTAATTCATCTAGCATGCATGTTTAACTTAAATTATGGTATCTATTATAAATGTATGCAAGTTTTTTTTGCAACGTTTTGACTACATACATTAGGCAAACTTAACTATTTTTAATTGTCAAGCATTAAATATCATATTCTCTATTGAAAATCGATTATAATGCATACATTGCTTACGATTGTACTCGGGCACCTCACAATCCTTTTATATATCTTATAATAAGCATTAGCATTTTGAACGGACCTTGAGAGCACGGAGGATACTTTATGGTGGCCCCAAGATTATTCAAGAAGTCGACGATAGGGCCGGGCTTTTCAAATGAACTGCTTGGTAGCTGACGATTGAGAGCCAACTCGAAGAAAGCTCCTTCGAAGCTCAAAAGCTTGTGAACTTAGTAGTGTTGACATTGAAGACCTAGAGGTTCTTACTAAGATACTAATATCCCTCCAATTAAATTTTAGTTCAGCTAAATCTTTTTTAAATTATTTCAAACTGTTTTTGTTTTGTACCTGAAGTGTAGGAGGAGCAGCTCATACGATCATATATATGTATTAATTTTCCATAACATCATTGTACCACCGACTAGGTTATATAACATTGACACCATGACACACGTATTACTATAGAAAGGTAGACTGCACACATAATCACTTGGAATTTACGGTGCCATAATGCCCCAAAATAATTCAACAACATATTTTTTAGCGGTGATTGTAAATGCTGGTGGCACGCAATAATTTGTATAACAAAATTTCTCATTTTCAAAATTCAATTTAAATTTTTTTAATAGAATCCTTATTTCATGTTTGATGAGAGAAAATAAATTTCTAAAAAAATTTTATACTTCTAATTTATTTTATCTGATCAACCGTTCTTTTTTTATTGCTAAATTATTTTAATTTAAAATACAAATTCATCATTAAATTGGTTTTCATAATACCGGAGCCAACTGTTTCAATGAACCATAAATTATTTTATGGTAGTTATTAAGAAAAAATTTCCACACCGGTAGTTTATGTTACGGCTAAGTAGATGTTGAATTTAAAAGAAAAAAAATATTGAATATAAAGATTAATTAGTATGAATTCATTTTTTTGTACAAAGAAAATTCTGTTTTTATTCAAAATCACATTTGATGTTTTTATTAAATTATAATCTATAGAGCATCCTTAGGTTAGGTATTGTAAAATCACAATTTATTATTACTATTGTGTAATATTTTTTACATTCAGTTTGAGAGACAAATTCCAATCAACAACTAATAAGTACACGATCTTATAACCCTCGACCATAAAATGCACGGTCAAATTTGATACAGTAATTGTACGGTAACTACACTGTTTTAAGTGTAATTATTGAACTTTAATATTGATTTAATGAATCGTATTGTTACGGTGTAAGCATAATCCTAGATCAACCATGTAACGATGCAACCAATGTAAAAAATCGGTATACAAATTTTAAAAAAAGATAGCGTTAAACAATCTACAGAAGATATAAATAAATCACAGATAGCATTTAAAATGCTAGTCGGGATTTACCTAGGCAGTAGTTGCGATACAGTTATTATAGAAATTTCTATTGAGCAATCTAAATTAAGGCGTCGAAAAATGTTTCAAAAACTTGAGTAATGACTTTTTTTTCATTTCCTGAGTTGCATTATAAATCACGACACTAATAATACAGCAGAATAGCAAATAAGATAACATGATTAATAATATAAAATAATTGATTTACATCTTTATTTTTAATTAAACAGTTTTAGTTAAATATATGTGCAAAAAACATATATGATATTGTAAATTAATAACTAATACAAATAATGATTTTCTTATTATTTAGTTGTAAAAAATGTATTACAACTATTTATTGATAAATTGAGTAGCAATTTTAAAATCACCATCAGCAAAACGTCAAGGATTATTAATTTATAGACTTAAATTTCAATATTCAATGTTGACTGAATTAAAAGAAAACAACTTTTTACTAGTATTTTTGATGAAATTATGGCAATACAATAATTGTATAAAACCATAGAAAAAAATATATAAGCAATTTTAAAAAAAACCATCTGCAAAACGTCAAGGATTATTAATTTATAGACTTAAATTTCAATATTCAATGTTGACTGAAACAAGTTTTTACTAGTATTTTTAGTGCAATGAAGGCAATAAAATAGGTTTCTGTACCTATCATTAATAAATGAAATGTTTACTTAGTTTTAAATAAGTGTTATTAAATATTGAAAACCAAATTAAATTTGATAAACGCTGTTATTGCTATTTAAAATATGGCCTTTTTAATACTGAAAAAACATTGTATTGTTATATATTAAATAGAATTTCAATTAAATTTATCATTTCAACTGTTTTACTTATCAGTTTTATTTGAAAACATCGATTGTCAAACCAAAAATGTATGACTACATTTTTATTGCTTTGTATCTAGCCAGTAGCTTATCAAATGGAATATTTATCCCTGATAATCCTTTAAATGAGGTAAAACGATATTATTTAATTTTTAATAAAAGTTAGTTGTAAGATTTTTTATAATTAGAAAATCCAATTTTAGGAATATCTAGATGATTATTAAGATATAGACTTTATTTTTTTAATTTACTAAGAGATATAATTTTTCAAAAAAAATTATTTATTACTTAAATAATTTAATTACACAACGAATCAAATTTAATTATAATTTGCTTTTGGTATAAAAAAAATTACTACGGTTTTATTCTTGAAGCAATATTTCATAAAAATAGTTAATCATTTTAAAAAATGCAGTTATTTATGAATACTCAGTACTTATGATTTAATTAATATAAAATTTTTTTATAAATAATTAGAATAAAAATAATTTTTTAACTAATTTTAATTAAATTCTATTTTATTAGAATTTTTTAGCTTCGATGCGAAGCTGAGAAAGTATTAATTTTACTATGATGTGTTTTTTTTTTGTGTCTCTGAACGCTTAATCTTAGCTTTCACTGGACCGATTTGATGAACAATATGTCAAAAGATCACAAATCGTATCTAGTTAAAGACATTACCCTCAAAAATTGAATAAAATTGCCTCGTTCCCCGTAAATGGGGGAAAATCACAAAAAATTACAAATTTAAAAATCGCTAATTTTCGATATTTTTTCATTTTTTTTTACTTAAAAATGCCATAACTTTTTTAAAAAAGACCGAATCAATATAATTTTTTTTTATATAGACACCTTAGATATTTACCTATTATTTTATATATTTTTGTGAACATTTGACCCTTTAACAGCCCACAGGAAGGATTTCAAAATGATGACTTTTTTACAAAAAATTAACTTATTCAACTTAACTTTTGAAAATGTTCCGGAAATACTGATACTTTTATATGTATCTTAAATTAAAGCTAATGTAATATACTTTAATTTGAAAAAAAAAATTTGACCTCTGGACTTGTCTTCATGGTGAAAATGACTACCGTATGCAAAAATATGCTATTTTTTTTAAAAAATTCTTGATATTACATTTTTTAACATTATGATTCTATAACTTTTTAAAAAAATGCATGAATCGATTCTATTCTTTAATAATAAATACTTTATTTTTGTGAGCATTTGACTCTTTAAAACCTACAGGAAGGGTTTCAAAATGGTAATTTGTTTACAAAAAATTATCTTTTTCAACTTAATTTTTGAAAGTATTCCAGAAATACTGACACTTATATATATATATCTTAAATTAAAGCTTATGTAAAATACTTTAATTTGAAAAAAAAAATTTGATCTCTGTATTTTTCTTCATGGTAAAAATGACTACCGTATTTAAAAATTTGATATTTTTGTGTTAAAATTCTGGGTTTTGTATTTTATTTTATTTTAAAATACCTGACAAGGGAAGTACAGAATTTCATAAATATTATATAAATTAAAATTGATATAGTATAGAAAGTTAAACTTATTTAAGTTTGTTTGCTATTTTTAAGTCGAGAAAAATAACTTTGAAATTTGATTTAGCTTAAATAGCCAATTTTTTCATCCGACGGTAGCAACATACGTTTGCCGAGTTGGTAAAACTTATGTTTTATACGCTTGGGGTATGAGATTCCAACGCACGTATGGCAATGCAATTTTTGCATTTTTTCTTAAATCTTTTTATGTTAGTATAAATTATTAACTCGTTTTTTATCTCATTTAGATTCAATAATTTCAATAAATATCAAGGATCCCATAATTTTAGTCGCCCCTTGTAAGAAGAAATTTCTTACTCGAATAGTCTAATTGCACATTTGAAAACATCGCAAAATGATGATTTAGAATATTATATTTTTGTTCCTGATGAAAGTTCCTTGTAGTACAGTGTATAAAACTTATAACTTTATTATCTGTTAAACTTTATCAAAAATGACCAAATCAGTATAATTTTTTTTTTATATAGATGCATGTCTTTATCTATCATTTGGTTTTTTTTTTATAAATCTAACCCTTTACCTGTCCACAAGAGGGATTCAAAATAATAACTTTTTTTTTTAGTTAAAGTAAATCATTAAAATTAATTCAGTTCTGGATATTTCAATTGTAGAATCTTTTTAAATACCAAAAATTACTTAGAAATGATTTCTATTTAAGTGTTCTATTACTATATAAATGCAAAAAATAATGAGTTTTTCTGATAAATATACTGTAAATAGTAATTATAAAACTTTCTGACTGCATATTAATCATAAAAATAATATTGTTTTAATGCTCATCAAATTTTCTATTTAATGATTTATCGAGTCAACGAAGAAGTAATTTTGGCGAATAACCCAACCAACCAAATTTTTTTTTTTTTTTTTAAAGTAGGAAATTGGTGGATTATTCCAAAAGCAACATCAATTATTATTTCTTTAATTATATCCTGATTAGTAGTTCTTTGATTTTAAAATATAATATATAATTATATATGAATTATATTTATTAAATTTAGTATGAAATTGATATTCAAAAATTTAATATTTTAATTTAAATGGAGAAATTATAAAAATAATTAAGAAGTTATATTTTGCTTTACTTTTACGTGTATTAAAATTTAAAGGGCTTGATACAATAATTTCAATAAAAACTGTTTGTTACTATTAAAAATTGCAGTGGACTACAAGAAACTTTCATCAGAAGCAAAAATATACTTTTCTAAATCAACTTTTCGCGTTGTTTTCAAATCTGCAAGTAGATTTTTTCTATCACTTCTAATTTTATATATTATTACTAATTATATATAAAATAATAATTAAAAAAAAAAAAAATTTGTTTTCAAATTATTACTGATTTGATTTTTAATATGTTAAAAATAATCAGTCCAAATTTTCAATTTTAACCTATTTTTTTGGATCTTTAAAGTTGATGAAGAATTTTTGTTAAAGATTTATGAAAGTTTAAAGCAAAAAAAATTTAATATATTACCATAACGTTTAACTCAATTACAAGTTTAAAATTGACATCTAGGTCAGTCAACAAAGGAAAAATTGCGGAAAAAATTCCGAACCAAATTTTGTTTTTTTAAAGTTGAATTAAAATATGTACAATGACATACTAATAGTCCTCATTGATTGGAATTGAGCTTTTATTTTTTACAGCCTCGCAAAAGTTAAAAAATATGAGCTTTTTTAATTTTCTCAAAAAATATTTAACTTACATAAAAAAATTTCGTATAAAAGTTGTTTAAAAGACAATTATAAACAAAAAAAAACCCAGCACAGGGGGGTCGTGGCACAGTGGTGACGTGGTATAGATGGATCAAGTATAATGATATCTGACAGTGATTAAAATCACTATAAAAAAAAAACGCTTCGATGCAAATCTTTAGATAGTGTTTAATTTTAAAAAATTGGTGGATTATTCCAAAAGCTTCATAAACTGCTAGTTCCTTATTAATATCCTGATTAAGATAAAGTATGTCGAATGAAAAAGGGATTATTAAAAAATAGTATTTCCCATAAAAAAATTATATTGATCAATACACTTTTCAATAAGTTATAGCATTATAAAGTTAAAAATGTAAAAAATAAAATTGAGAATTTTCACACAATAATAGCATTTGGTAGCCATTTTCACCGTGAAGACAAAATAAAGTCCGAAATTTTTTTTTTACATAATAAAGTAGATTACATTAGCTTTAATTTAATATATATAAAAAAGTGTCAGACTTTCCGGAACACTTTCAAAATTTCAGTTGAAAAAGTCAATTTTTTGTGAAAAAGTTGTCATTTTGAATCCCCCCTGTAGACTGGTAAAAAGTCAGATTTATAAAAAAAATATACCAAATAATAGGTNTGTAGGCAGGTAAAAAGTCAGATTTATAAAAAAAATATACCAAATGATAGGTAAAGACATCATGCATCTACAAAAAAAAGAATTATATTGATCCATACATCTGTCAAAAAGTTATAGCATTATAAAGTTAAAAATATAAAAAAGAATTTTTTTACAAAAATCGTATTTTTTTTATTAAGTTTAATGTCTGTTTTCACCATGAAGATAAAATAAAGTCCGAAATTTTTTTTTACCATTATAAAGTATATTACATTAGCTTTAATTTAAGATATATATAAAAGTGTCAGACTTTCCGGAACACTTTCCAAATTTAAGTTGAAAAAGTCAATTTTTTGTGAAAAAGTTGTCATTTTGAATCCCCCCCTGTAGGCAGGTAAAAAGTCAGATTTATAAAAAAAATATACCAAATGATAGGTAAAGACATCATGCATCTACAAAAAAAAGAATTATATTGATCCATACATCTTTCGAGAAGTTATAGCATTATAAAGTTAAAAATATAAAAAAGAATTTTTTTACAAAAATCGTATTTTTTTTATTAAGTTTAATGTCTGTTTTCACCATGAAGATAAAATAAAGTCCGAAATTTTTTTTTACCATTATAAAGTATATTACATTAGCTTTAATTTAAGATATATATAAAAGTGTCAGACCTTCCGGAACACTTCCAAAAGTTAAGTTGAAAAAGTTCTATTTTCTATATGCATTTTTATGTTTTGAATCCCCCCTATATTAAGGGAAATGGTCCGATTTAAAAAAATAGTATGTCAAATGAAAGATCTATATAAATACTCCTTCTCATAAAAAAATTGTAATGATTCATTCATTATTCAAAAAGTTATAGCATAATAAATTTAAAAATGGAAAATACAAAATCGAAAATTTTCACACAAAAATAGCATTCGGTAGCCATTTTCACCATGAAGATAAGATAAAGTCCGAAATTTTTTTTTTTCATGATAAAGCATATTACATTAGCTTTAATTTAAGATATATATAAAAGTGTCAGACCTTCCGGAACATTTTCAAAATTTAAGTTAAAAAAATTAATTTTTTGTGAAAAAGTTGTCATTTTAAATCCCCCCTTGTGGGCAGGTTAAGGGTTAAATTTATGAAAAAAATATACCAAATGAAAGTTAATGATATTATGCATCTATATAAAAATAAATTATATTGATATGTTCATTTTTAAATGGCACTTTTAAGTAAAAAAAATTGAAAAAATATCGAAAATTAGCGATTTTTAAATTTGTAATTATTTTGGAGGTTTCCCCTATTTACGGGGAACGAGTGAATTTTTTTCAATTTTTAAGGGTAATGTCTTCGACTAGATACAATTTGTGATCTTTTGACGTATCATTGAAAGAAATCGGTTCGGTGAGAGCTGAGAAAAAGTGGTAACAGACACAAAAAAAAA